AAAAAAAAGTAAAAATAATAATAATTATGTAAAAACTTGTTACTTACTTGGCATTTCCAGACACAGCCTTTTTCCGGCGGAATATATTGAAGAAGCTATTGCTGCCACACTGAGCCGCAGACTTCCCATCACCAACATGCATTCGCACCACATCAGATGTGGTAAAGGCGCTTCGGACGTTCCTCTCTGGTTTGGCAATGATAATGTACATCTTGGGAGTGAACATGCAGCCCAGTGCCACTGTGACACTTAGACTGACAGAGAAGGATGTGGTGATGATCTTGTAGTTGGAGCCAAAATAGATAGGCACAAAGGCCAACCAGATAATACAAGTAGTGTACATTGTAAAGGCAATATATTTCGCCTCGTTAAAATTGGCAGGGACGTTTCTTGTCTTAAAGGCATAGTAAGTGCAGCTCATGATTAGCAGGCCATTGTATCCCAGTGGTGCCACCATGCCTAAGTTGCTGGTATTGCAGATGAGGAAGACCTCACGTATGCTTGGGTAGGACTTGATGGGCTTGGGAGGCTCCAGAATAATGAGTGTTATTTCCAGAGTTAGCTGCACGCTGATTAGCATAAAGGCAATAATAACCTGGGCCCAGGCGCTCATAAAACGTGGTTTCCTGGTGCAGATCTTTTTCTTGCTCCCTGCCAGAATGCGGGCAATTCGGTTTGTTTTCGTCACCAGAGCAGAGTAGCACATGGCCGATGAAAGGCCGACCAGGAGACGCTGTAGATAGCAGGAGGCCACTGTGGGACGCGCGATCAGGGTGAATGGACAGATGTAGCCCAGGAATATACCTGCCAGAATGATATAACATAGTTCTCTGCTGGAGGACTTAACCACAGGTGTATCACGGTACTGGATGAACACAAAAGTGACAAAGGAGGTGATCAGGATGCCCACGCAGGAGAAAACAACTGCAACTATGGACTCTACATCTGCCCAGTCAAGATACTTCAAAGGCAGTGGTTGACAGCCTGAAAAGAGAAGATGATAATTACTGTTTTGTTCACACACATACATGCACATTTATGTGCAAACATGTGGTCGGTGTGTGTGTCTTAGCTCTCTGTCAAAATACACCAGTTGCATACTTGTCATCTATAATGTAGAGGAATATTGTAGAGTTTAACGAGAGAAAAGTGACATCCCTCGACTTCCCCAGCTTAACACTCCATAAATTATATGCTTCTGCTAATAGCATTAAAGTGACTTCACTGTGAAACCCACTGCTGATCTGTATGCTAACGCCTAACACGTCAAATCATCAGACATTTTACAATAACCAACAATGCCTGCCACTAAGAAAATCTTTTAAGAATCACATACACTATTTTTAGATGTACACTTGACTTCAATTTTCATTTATAGAGAAAGCCTGGCTCCAATTAGGCATATAAGTGAACAATATAACACATATATAGATTAACAGCTCTTATCTTTTAGAATTCTCTCAGTGCCAGAAGAGTGAAGGGAAGATTTCTTTTTTGGCACTCTGCTGAAGTGTATTTCTAAGCCTCTCATGGCTGTAATAGGATTTGGCACCTGAGAAATGAGAGCTCCTCTCAACTTCATAAATTGCTGTCAAAACAACCACAGAGGTACAAAAAGGCAAAGAGCAGAGAGAACGGAAGTGAGCAATATCAGGTTTGTGACTAGCCTGAGGAGGCTTAAGGGCCCTGCATACTCCATCCAAAGTGGCAAAATCAGCTCTCGGTGACGTATTGCGTCACGAAAATCGCGTCATTTTGTTCTCAGAGCAGCTTTGCCCGCCCCTTCTCAACACAAGGCCTGAGTCAAACTTTTTCTCACAGGTGTATGCTCAAAGTATTGTGTAATTGGTCAGAAGTTTGCGGGCGTGTTCCTCAATGCGGAAATGAATTCAGACTGTGCAACTCTTCAAACACACTAAATTGGTCAAATGGTCAAACACTCCTGGATGGAGACCATGCAAGCATTGTGTACAGACCGGAGGGGTCTGTCTGTTAAAAAGTGTGGTGTTTTCTTCATGATAGGTTTGTGTGGGGTGGCTGTGGCTGAGTGGTTAGAGCAGTCGTCCTCCAATGCGAGAGTTGGGGGTTCGAATCCACCAGCAGTCACATGCCGAAGTGTCCCTGGGCAAGACAGTGAACCCCTCATAGCCTCTGATATGTGTCCCATCGGTGTATGAATGTGATCTAAACCTCTGATTAGTCTCATTAGAATGATTTGTTCAATTAGCTTTGTAGAGATCTAGTGCTGTATGAATGGGTAAATGAGGCACAGATTGTAGTGTAAAGCACTTTGAGTATCTTGAAATAAGATAGAAAAGCGCTATGTAAATACAGTCCATTTACCAAACGGTGGATGCAGGGATGGAGTGGAGACCATGGCAGGAACATTCCCATTCAGTGGCATATATACTGCAGTGGGAGGGATTTCCCAGGAGCCTGTGTCTTGTGGACTATGAAAGCTGTGTGCAAAAACTAACATCCTGCAACCACGTGACCACGAGTCGACTTCAGTTTTGGATGGAGGATGCCGGGCCCTTAAAGGACAGCTGGAGGATGAAACTGGGCTGGAGAAAATGTGCCAGATTGCTGCTTTTTGAGAGGATAAAGTTCATCAATTGGTAGCTCTCGTTATTGGTTAGCTAAGTTCAGAAAGGGCAACCATGATGTATGCAAATGAGTGCAGTTAAAATAAAAAAGTACAGAGCATCTTGAAGTGTCTGCTTTTTTTTTTTTTTTTTTTTGCCTACCTGCCAGGTCTTCATCAGGCCACCATCCCAGCTCGCATGCCTTACAGGTAAACTCATCCTGGACATACTCGTTGTCCTTGCACGTCGTGCAAATCCAGCAGCAGCTCACTTCACCTTTCCTTATCACCTGATGATTAACATAGATGGGTCAAAAAAAGATGTAGGAAACAGTTGCATCACTTGCCAAGCCATGACAAGAGACGTAAAACCCTCAGGCTCAGGGCAGCATAAAAAAGTAATGAGCCACAGGGGGATGTCAAAGTCGGTCATGAGTTTGTACCTTTTTTTTTTTCTTTTTTTTTGTGAGCTCCAAACAGAGTTTAGAAAACAAGGCCAACTGCTTTTACATTCTGCTCCCAGAGAAGCTGGTAACAGCACCGTGATATGCAAAGCAGGGTGATAAGTGGGAAACAAAACAGATAGAAGGAGATGTGAGAGCAGCCAGGAGAGAGGCTGCACCCTCCCCCTGGGCATCGCAGTGTACAACAGAAACATATCACCCCAGAATTAAGCAAATGAGGGCACTTTTTTTTTACAGGACTCAGCACCAATTGAACTGTTCAATGTGCCAACCTAGCTTCTTTATTTTTGTTGTTTTGTTAAGCCTTTCAGCTAACGTGCTACTTAAACATTTGTGTGAAATAGCGTAAACAGATACACAGTTTGTTCACTTTATATATCTTTATTCAACCAAGAAAATATGTGATTTTTTTTCCCTCCCTGATGTATATTTTTTCATTATCTCAAAGAGATCAGATGATATGTTTAAATTTAGGATGGAGTAAAAAAAATTCTTGCAACATAAAGATGTGGTGGACAGTTCAAAGTAGATTTGAAATAAGACTAAATGACAATTGCACACCCACAGTTTTGCACTGCCAACATTCTACCTAGTGAGATACCACCATTTTTCACCAATCGCAACCACAACGTTGCATCGTTTTTACGTCTATATTCTGATTTACCTCATTTTGTATTTTGCTTTGTGTGTTACCTGTTGTTTTGTCTTTACTGCACTTTGGTTGGCCTTGTCGCTGTTTTAAGTGCTCTATAAATAAAGTGGTATGGTACAACATTTTAAATGGCTATCTCATGCATAAAATGTGACAATAGCTGCAGCAATAAAATGTTTGTTTGCACTTCTGTCAGTTTGTATCACATTAAATAAGCTAGGCCTGTACATAAAGTAGTGCACATCATATATTAGTGAGCATGTTGCTGCATCATTAGACTGCATAAAATGCAAATAAATACAGTGGGTTGCTATGTAGCTTGGTCATTGGCTACATTTTTAAAAATATTTTCACTGAAATTTGGTCTCAATATCTAGATTCGCTAGAGATGTTACTGAGCTCTAATCTATGGCCACAATCCACTAATCTGTTGTTTTATACTGTGAAATATTTTGTGTAATGTCTACCGTCTGCTAAATATAGCTGGACAAACTGACATGGAAACAGCAGGATGCTCTTCCAGGCACTGTCATGTTTTGCTCTAATCTTTAATTACAATGTCCACATGACCAATATTGTGTGGGAGCTCCTGTTTTTTTAATTTAATTTAATTTTTTATTAAAACAGTAACTCCTTGAGACAACACTCTAATTTACAAAATGCAAAAAAAAAATGGTTTTCAGATGATGTATACAAATTGAGTTGAATCTGTTGCTGTTGGGTTTATTTTGTATCTCACTTTAATGGCAATACTGGACGAAAAGAGTTTAGTGAGGGCCGAAATTGAATCTGATTTATATTATGAAACTGCTTTTCAGTGGCAAAAAGCCAATGCATTTCCATATCATTAACATTTTAAATGAAAAACCAAATGCACTGAAATGATCCGCTGAGATCCACATGTTGCCTTGCAGTGTAATATGACTCAGAGTGGCCGATTTTTCACCTTAGGTCACAAGATAATTCAACACATTTTGGTTTCGAGACACACTGATGCTGTCACCACATCTTAACTCATTGAATACAGAAAGGAAATTATGTTTTTTAGGGTTTTTCATTAGTTTTTGTTTAACTATTATTTCTTGTGAGGTACCATTTTCTTGCTTTGAGGATTTAGTCCAGGGCTATTCAACAAAACTGCTTAGGGGGCCACAGTTTCTGAAAGCCAACAGCTCGGGGGCCGGACATCCAGCGATTAAAGTCATTATGTAAATAAAACAAGTTTTACCTTTTAAATTTGTTTAGTTTATTGCGTTGACTCATAAATGCAATAAACAGAACCCATACCCAGAACCCCCAAAAAACTTTTTTTTTAATTAAGTGGGGCAGATTGAAGTCACCGGGCTGCCAGTTGCATAGCCCTGATTTAGTCTTTAATTCGTTTCCTTGCTCTTTTAGCTAATTTAATGTTTGTTATATTGATGGGGGGCTGCAGTAGCTTGGTGGTCAGTGCCAAGCTGTTATCCTGAGGTTGCAGGTTCGAGCCCAGGTTGCGTCAAGAAGGGCATCTGGCATAAAACAAATATGCTTGATGCGAGTTTGCTCACTGTGGTGATCCCTGAAGAAGGGAGCAGCCGAAAAAACTTATTAATGATTAATAATATTAATAATTCCTTTATTATTATTATCCGTCTGGTTTATAGATTTGTACGTGCCCTTAACAACATTCTGGTGGGCATTAGACAGGCTGTCGCAGCGGCACCCACGTTAACTCTGACTATTTTGAGAGAAAGTTTGTTGCACAAATTTTCTGCACATATTTGAAACTTAAGCAACAAGGAAGAGCACATCTGTGACACGCCAGGAACCCCTGACCCAAGAGTTCTGCAAATGTCGTAAAACACTCCGGAGGCTCTCGCGTGAATGCCGTTTGCTAACTTGTTGCAGTGAGACGCTACCTTAATCGAGACCAAGCATTTTGTCTTCTCAATATAAAAGTGGCTATTTGCAACGGTTTGTCAGGTTTTATTTAAAAATGTCAATCAGTCAGGAGCAGAGTTCTTGTAGAACTGAAAAATACCTACCTTTATTTGACCTTTGGAGCAGGGGTCACTGCAGACTGAGCGAACCATGTCACTGCTGTTCATCCATAATTTATTGTCATCCATGTTCAAGATTCCCTCGTGCCAGGACCCCACATTTAAGTAGTCATAGCGATCCTCCCCCACGTTCTGTAGATTCATGATGTCATACCTGGAATGGAGTAAAAAGTAAGACAACTGTGGGTATGGATGGGGAGAAGAGGAGAAGGGGGGTAGGGATTAGAGATTAAACTGCTTGACAATGTTTTCATTTTCTTTTCCGATTGAAATTTACTAATTCGGCTTGAAAACCGTTTGAATGTGACATAGTGAGCTTGTGCAGCGGTACACCGTGTCCTCGTTTCTAAACTTGAACCAGGATGTGCTCCACCTGACGGAGGAATGACACGGCTGCGTTTCCTGACTGTCAAACGGTGTCTGTTGGACCAGAAAAGAGATGAAAGTGGCTGCCACAGTCGGCCATTCACCGAATCTGTTCCAGTCCAAACTAATTACATCCCTTTGTGCTCAAGACTGGTGCGCACGCGTGTGTGCTTGTGCACGAGTGTTAATGAGTACAGTGACTGTGGGAGAGAGGAGAGGAATTCAAATCTGACTATCATATGAAAGCTCTATTTCCTCCCTTCTCTCACCTGCCTGGGGTGTCTCCGTTTTCGTCGAAATAAATGTCTTCCCCGGAGACTCCTCTGAAGGACGTCTTAAGCAGATAATCCAGCAGCTTGCTTCCGTCGATGGGATCCATGGCCTCGCAGAGTCCCGTCTGGCCTGGACAAACTTCCTTGTGCATGTCGTGTAGGCCGTGAGCCATGGCGTAGATGGCGTTGATGACGAAGCCCATCTTACTATCCTGAACGTAGTTCTCGTGGAGATTTTCATTTCCTGTTAAAATAAAAGCAAAGGTCATGCAACATATGAAGACCTTTCAGACTCGGGTGTTACTGAAAATTAAATGAAGTGGTGTAAACCAGATATAGAGAACTTTATTTTTTCCAGCAGAGTTGATTATTACACACATCGAAACACGATGTTCAGGGGTTCAATAAGAAACAGACTTGGACAATTATAAATGTCAGGAAAGGCTTCACCCTGCCATTAAATCTCATTTTTACCAAGACTGTGAAAATCTGTGAAAGAAGATAAATTAATCTATTTCTTATTGCATTTACAAGGAAACCATAATATTCTGCCTCCTTAGACAAAATAATATCTTTACATGCACAAAAGCAAGCTGGTGATATGTCCCTGTAACACTTTAACAACTCAGTAAGATATTTCCATGTCTTTGTGCCATTTATGAGTGATTTTTTTTTTATTTTTATGTAAATATAAAAAAGTGTTGCACATCAAGAGTTTTAACAGATGCCGATATCACTCCCGTCAGATCGACTGAGCCTGGTACTTCACTAAGCGTTATAAAAAGACTGATGTTTTTTTTAAAACATCGGTCAAACAGTTGTCTCAAACTGTCTTGAATGAGTCGCATGTAAAGTGCATGTGACAATAAGAAAGGAGGAAAATGAATCAGGAAGTTGTTGTGATTGAGTCACTCATCGCCTTGAAGATCTTTGAAATTACATTTGTAAAAAGTAAAGAAAAAATAAATAAATCATCTGCTTCCAACTGCAATGGTCATCACACAGCAGTAATTAGCTTTATTTATAATTTCTGTGGTGGAAAAATGGGATTCACCAACGGTCAGGTGTAATCTTCATCAAATTTATGAACAAAATTTTGTGAAGAAACCGCGTCAGAATGCAGAAAATCAAATCATTACAAGTACAGAAACTGTGCCTCGGTTTCGATCTGGTTCTGCCTTCCCAACCAGAAAAAGTTCATTATGTAGAAACTTATCGGGGCGGGGGGTTGCTCCTTCCTGTTTGTGTTATAAGAAATAATAATAAAGTGCTATGTGTTGTCATCATTGTATGTTCCCATACAAAGACGGAATTGGCTCTTTGCATTTAACCCATCGCACCTGGGATACATCCAGGTGGAGCAGTGGGCAGCTATAAGCACCCGGGGAGCAATTCGAGATTAGGTGTCCTGCTCAGAGACACCACGAGATGTGCATTAACCGGGGATCGAATCCAGGACCTTCGGGTCCCGAGTCGGCTGCTTATCAGAACTGACCCGCAGCAGACACAAAAGAGGGAGCTGCTGAACTAAGGCATTATAATAACATCCCATTCATACCACATTGACTGTAAAGTCTACAAAAGGTTGTTGGTAGAATAATAGAGCATGGTGTTTGCATATCGATGCTTTGTGGGAGTGGTGGTGCAGAGGTTAGAGAGGGTGGAGCTGTGATTGGAGGGTCGCCGGTCAACTCCCGGGACCGACAACATCAAAAGCTGGGTGGAAAAGGTGAAACACTCACACCTGCCTCCACCATCATTTGCCCCACCCTGGGCCCATGAGCAAGCCCCGCCACCAGCTGCCCCCGAGGCACCCTAGATGGCAGCCCACTGCCTCACGTGTGTGTGCTCACATGTGCATCACGTGCAATGAGAGAAATGCACAGCACGGTGGCACAGCTGGTAGAGCTGCTGCCTCTCAGCGAGCAGGTCACCCTGGTTCAAATCCCGGTCCAGGGTCCTTTCTGGGTGGAGTTTGCATGTCCTCTCCGTGCATGCGTGGGTTTTCTCCGGGTACTCCGGTTTCTTCCCACAGACCAAAAACATGCATGTTAGGCTGATTGGTAACTCTGAATTGTCTCTAGGTATGAGTGAGAGAGTGAATGGTTGTTTGTCTCTATGTGTCCCTGTGATGGACTGGAGACCTGTCCAGGGTGTACCCCACCTCACACCACATTTTTAAGTCAGAGATGGATGAACTGAGGACAAATCTTGCTGTTACATCATTAATTTGTTCTCAAATAAAAATCTTATGTCATGTAAAATATTCCTCTGCTTCTACCTACCAGAACAGATTTTTTTGTAGTTCTTGTTTTCTTGTGGATGGCCCGAGAGGCGACATTGAAATCGGTACTGCCAGAACTCTGTGAACCAGGGGTTCCTCCTGTTGGAGTCCAGACGCAGCCTCAGGTAGTAGTCGTCAAAGGACTTGACCACCTCTGACTGCAGCTTCATGGTGATTCCTCCCTCGGCTTCCTGTTCATAGCCTTCAACAACCTCGTACCGGTCAGCCCAGCCGTCGCTGCAAAAACATCAAAAATAAAATTAAACACTACAACTGTGACAATACTCTGTATTTGTTATGTTCAAGTGTATTTTAAACTGTATTGTTGATTATAATTGCATTGTAGTTTGTACTCTATTTTCATTTTACACTGGCAGCTGTTGGCAACTTCTGTTATAAAGGCAACAGCTACATTAAAAATTAATAATGCACCAGCTTAGTTTTGATTTCACTGCTGCTTGTTGCATCTTTAACAAAAAAATTAATGTGATTCATCATTTTCTATAAAGACTTGACTAAAAGGCAAAAGAAGCAGGAATTGTACTGAGATCTTATAGCTTTTTCACATGTCTACATACTGGGTTTTTTTTATATTGCTGATTGAAAAGAAAAAAATGTCGAATTCAAACTATAGAAATGAACTCATTTGAAGCACAATGGTGGTTCTGTGATTCTTTGAGCATGTTTTGCTTCATTAGGACAGTTTAATATCTTTAATGGATCAATAGATACTAAAAGGAAATATCAGTATGTATGCTGCAACCCTATATCACACTTTCCGTATTTTTTGCCCTATAAGTCACAGTTTTTTGCGTAATTTGCATGCCCTGCGACTTATATGCCAAAGCGACATATTTATGGATTTTTTTCCCCTCATATTTATAAACCAAGATTTGGCTGAGATATGACTGTTTTCATTAATTCTGACTGAAAATATTGAACGCTACCATTTTCAGCCACGAGATGGTACTCAAGCAGTATGGCATGCCATTGTGTCATGTAATATGTAAAAGTGGGTATTAATGCCACAGTCTGCCATCTTTGTTCTACTCGCTTGGAGCAACCGTCAAATCAGCTTAATTTCTCTGCATCGCCCCGGTGAAATGCAGCTGATTTGACCATTGAAGTGCATTTATTACGTAAAAGTTAGACAGAGACACACCTTTACTATAATTTCAAACAATTTCAACAAATGTTTTTAAGTGCTAATCTTGTTAAATTCTTGTTAAAGTTTTCCCATGCATGGTCCTGCGGCCGACATTTGGCAGCCCATCGATTTTTGGCACAACACCGGCCCGCATTTCCAGTTTGTCAGCGGTGACGCATAATAGATGCAACTTATACGGCAAAGCGACATATTTATGGATTTTTCCACTTTATTAGACATATTTGGACTGATGCGACTTATAGGGCAGTGTGACGTGTACGGTGGAAAATATATATTTTCAAAAGAATGGGAAAAAATCTGGTCCAAGCCCTGATATGGAAAGACTTGAGATGAGCAGCTGATCTTTTTCATTAATAACGTGATGTGATCATCAGTCACTAGAAATGTATATTTGCAATCAATGCATCAAAACTGATCACAAATCATACCGATTCTAAAAATTCAAACAACTGCTTGCTTCAGTGGTTTGACTCAGGTTATAAATTACCACTTCAACCATAGTTTTGTTTCAGCTGATTTACCTTATCTAATGTTGTGAAACAGAAATTTTACATACGAGCAACAGATAAACTGTAATTCCTCTGCATGGTACGTCATCCTAATTATTTTATCTTCTTGCCTGCTGTTTTATCTCAAGTCCACTGCAGCGATCCTCGATTTAAAAGGATGGAAATCTCTGTGCCTCAACTGGAATAGTATGCTTTACAAAATCCCTCCAGCTTGTTTGTTTGCTTGTGTAATCCCTTGTGCCAGAACCATACCAAGCTAATTTGGACATATCTGGCCAATGGGCTCAGTGAGAAAAGGAAAACATCAGTGAAAGGGACACTGACAAGCAAATAAGCAGACAAACAGCACAGCTCAAGGCTTACTTTCCCTTTCAGTCTGAGCTGGTATGTTTTTGGCTGGTTTACTTTCCGTGCCCAGTCTTTTAATGTGTACTCCAGGCGGCTGTCTTGAAGTTCCTGTGCTCTACTGACAGCTACAAACCAATTAGGTCTGCTCACCTACAGAACCAATTATCTCACGTGTTGTTCTGGGCGATGGATGAGGACAGGTGCATGTCTCTGTGCAGATCACACAGTCTTGGAGCTTTTTATCCACAATTCCCACCAGTCTAGTCATTTGTGAGAATGCATGGGAATCATTAGAAAACCAGTTTACTTAAACCACTTTTAAGGTAGAAGAGATCAGTTGTGCAGCTAAATATGGGCAAAATATGGAAACCATCCAGAAAATGATTGTCATTTAGATCTTGTCATCTTTAGCTGATCCTCTCATTAAGAACTGAATGCCTGCCCATACTGTGTTAAAACTTGTGCTCATTAAAGTCAAATTTCATAATTTGTAATAATTTGTTAACAAAAATTTTAGTATACAAAACAAGTAGCAAGACAAATCGAGCTTTGCAGCTAGTATGGCTGTTTTTGTTTTCACAAAAAATTAAAGCTATCAGTTCTGGTTCAAATTCTACTCAAAGCTTTATTAAAATTCACCGATTTATATTTGTTATATTAACAAGAATTTAATAAGACCAAACAAGAAAGGGGTTGGATTTGAGATGATGCAAACGCCACGCATGTGATAACAAGACAGCCCGCCTGCTTCATTGTCCTTTTTACTCTAAATAAACTCATAAATCACTCCACGCGTCACAAGTGGCATGTGCAGCAAGGACAAGATCACGATAAAGCAAGATTTATTACTTGACTCAGGAGTCCAAAAGCAGCATCCAAGACGTGACAAGAACAACAGCAACATAGCAAGATATATGAGGTACATAAATATACAATCTGACAAAGAAAACGGAGGAAAATCAGGGAGTGCAAGGGCTAGGACAGCTGATTACTGAATGACGACAGGTGTGCTGATTACTGATGGAATACAGGTGGTACCTAATGAACTAGAAACCAGAACTACCGAACTGCCAGTATAAACGGTAACGAAAAACATTATTTTAGCTGAATGATACTAATATTTATAATAATTGTCCAAAGGAGGCAGCACGGTGGCACAGTTGGTAGAATTGCAGTCTCTCAGAACTGTACTTATATATCCTGATGCATGCTCAAACCACTGTACTTATATAGCACTTTTCTATCTTATCAAGATACTTTACTCTACAATCTGTGCCCTCATTTACATGGAGGACGGAATGTGACACATACATTTGCCCATTCATACAGCTCTCTACTATATACAAAGACTAATCAGAGCTTCATCACATTCATACACCGATGGGACACACATCGGAGGCAATGAGGGGCTCAGTGTCTTGCCCAAGGACACTTCAGCATGTGACTGCTGGTGGAATCGAACCACCCCAACTCTTGCATTGGACTAAATTGTCCCTAGGTGAGAGTGAATGGTTGTATGTTTCATTTGTCTCTGTGTCCCTGTGATGGACTGGAAACCTGTCCAGGGTGCCTGCCTCTCTCACTGTGATGGCTGGACATGGGCACCAGTGATCCCCATGACCCCAAAAGGAAGAAGCGGGTAAAGATAATGGATGGATGGATGGATGGATGGATGGATGGATGGATGGATGGATGAATGGATGGATGCATGGATGGATGGATGGATGGATGGATGGATGGATGGATGGATGGATGGATTTATCCAAAGCGAAAGAAAATACAGAGTGACCATGTGAAGGTTCTTCTGAGAGTGAAGCAAAGATGGATACAGTCAACTCATTATCGCCCGCCATCTTAAAAGGCAAGCAAGTATGGTGTTGCCTGCTTCTATGTGTGTTTGTTTTATCTGCTAACAAAATATCTTACGAGCCAGTGAATATATTTTATTGAAATCACTGGATATACAACTACAACAGATGAACTTTTAAAGTCATGCTAAGTCAAGATGGCCACCACAACTAGTCTACCTTAGAAACCACCAAAATGCTGACTGTCACTTTTACAGATTTTGCGCTAAAATTTGTTGTGGTAGTAGCTGAAAGTCATCCCCAGCACATACATCACAGCTAACAGGCTGCATGAAATCTTTGAAACTTTGAGATAACCTGTTGGAGTCAACCCTGTTTGTCTATTAGCAAAATATCTCATGAACCACTATGCAGGGGTGTCAAACTCAGCTGCAAAAGGGGGCCAATATTAAAGACTTGATCCAAACCATTGGCCAGTTTCAGTTGATACATTAACCCAAGGAACTTGACATCTTTTCTTGGCTGCATGTTCATTAGCATGAGTTTGATTGGTCTCATTTGACATTCTCTGTTGCCCTTCCATGTCAAAGTCAAAGATTACTAAAAATCCAGCAACTTTTCTGGTTTTGAAGTTGTCCAACTATCATGAGAAGTCTGCACTAAATGAACTATGCTCAGTTTTGTAAGCAAAATGAGAACCAATCAAAATACTGTAGTTTACATTTAAAATAACATCTTGGGAGGGCAGATAATATAACAATGGTCAGATTTGGTCCATAGGCCTGGAGTTTTACACATGTGCACTATGGGAACATTAAATAAACACAGAAACTACCATTGGTTGTACATTTATAGCTACTTTTGAAGTCAACCTGATTCTAGATGGCTAACAAACACAAAAAGTAGCTACAGTTCCTTTAAGAAATTCTAGTTTCATTAAGATTTCTAAATTGGAAAATCAAATTAGAGGTATGAAATTCTTCTTCAAAACATTGAAATGTATTTTATATGTCACACCAAAGAAAATATTGTAATGGCTCCATCGTTTCTATTGGTTCCCAACCATGGTCCTTGAGGAACGCCATACTGCATGTTTTAGTTTCCCTGCACCAACACACCTGATTCAGTGATTTATTACTTCCTTAACTTCTGCTAAAGCCTTTTAAGCACCCATTCATTCAAATTAGGTGTGTCAAAGCAGGGAAACAACTAAAACATGCAGGATGGTGTTCCTCAAGGATCAGGGTTCGGAACCCCTGGTTTAGACCAGAAGGCTATCTGTAACTTTTATATACATTAAAAATTAAAATGAAAACTGGACAAATTATCTTTTTATTGTTTATTATAAAGTTTTTTTGTGCGTGTTAGGCTAGGTGTGACCAGTCAAAAGCATTTCAATCCACC